TATTCCCCCCTGCACATAATTCGCCTGAATCGCGGAGGTGGCGTGCCCATGCCTTTGGTGGTAGTTATACTGCCCAAGATAGAAAATCTCAGCAGCTGTTTAACGAACATGAGCTGCTAGGTTTGGCTATCCGAGTCGAGGTTCAAAAGACTCATCGGGCAGTGTCACCGCTGCCAAAAGTATGGGCATGCGCAATCTGACTGCACTGCACTACCTAAGGGTCTAAAATGTGCTTCTGACCACATGACCAACTTATGACCTCAAACAGAAAAAGAGGAACGAAAGTGCGCGAACTGCGGAGGGGGGCACCCAGCGAATATCCGAACTTGCAGATTTGCCCCTAGGAAAAATCTGCAACTGATAGCGCGAAGGCGCAATGTAAGTTACGCGGATGCAGCTAGGGATGTAACCAGCACGGGTATCACGTATCTTGAAAAGTGACATTATGCCAATTTTTTTGACATGCTGTTTTTTTTCTGACATTATGTAGGTTATTCTACAAGATGTTAGCTCAGCACTTAGTTGTATGTGTTGCCTGACCGTCATGAGGCTTGTCATTAATCTTTGGCTCTGATGTGATGTAAAATCTGCTTCTGAGATGGCATTACTGGGAGGTCTACGCTGTAAGTTGTATGTGTTGATGATAATTACATTGGGTTCTTGTCTCAAATACACTTAATTGAGATTCAAAGCTAGAAATTAGTTGCGCATCCACCTTTTCTTATCGATTCTGGAAATTACATGTACAAATTTCCTGAATTTCAAAAATGAAAGAGATAAGAAATAATTATATTCACTGTACACTGTCGAATTACAAGCCATATACATGCTAACAGTAATTACACACAACGCGGACGCGGTGATGATTTCCCGTAATCCTCCTCAGTTTTTCGTAATTTATAACTTTGAACATAACCTATTTTGAGAAAGTACAACATATAAATAACCCGTCATATTCAGTGATTTTCTCACACAGCAAATATCACTGATTTTAAACACATGCAGACCAATACAATACACATAATCATCCAGATGCGATTTTGCTATTCATTTGCTTCTCCGAGATAAAAACTACAGACCCGGATCACTCAGCCTCACAAAACTATGCAACCAATAATGCGTAGTTTAGTTGAGTGATTCCTCCATAGATCGACATTCACAACGATCCTAGTGAGCAAAGTGGAATGACTGTTTGCGCTCTAAAAACTACCTAGTCTGCAAGTTAACATCTTATAGGTTTTTTTTTTGACGTTTTATAGGTTTTTTACATGATACTCGTGCCGGGCTGCCCCCTCTGTGGGTTCTTCTGCGAACAAGCGAAATGTGGACCTGGCAGCCGCGCTAAGGTCCTTACAGTAGATCATAAGTCCTCTGATTAGCGCAACACAGGTTTTGCAGGCGATCTCTCCTGCAAATGGCTAGGCACAATAGTCGACAGCCTGCATTTATCAAAATCCTTTTTTGGAATTGTTTGGGCAAGAGGGATATTCCCAAAAAACGGGAATTTCATCAAGCTCTTTTGGATGAAGATATAGATGTGGCCTTGCAGCTGAAAACGTTGCTTAATCCGGGAGATCGTCTAGCTTTCCCGAATTACGATGTTATCCGAGCTGATAGACTGAGTGGACGGGGTAGCGGCTTGGCAGTGCTAGTGAAACACGGTATTGAAGCTGCAAATATCGAGCATGGCATTTTAGGTTGGATTCCACCAGTGAGATCCGACTGTACAACCATGTCATACGAAATGGCTACCTCATACATAGTACTGAAGAGCCGACGTACCACCCATTTAATCACCTTCAGGCACCTAATGTACTTGATTTTGTATTATCCAAAAACTGTAGGCACAGTATCACTTCTCGAATCATGTATGACATCTCAAGCGATCATCTTTCCGTCGTTTTCGAAGTGGGTAATGAACAGATCCTGAGGGATGAAACCTCTCCAAGGAAACGCATTGATTGGGAGCTAAGAAGTCGCTCCTCAGAGAGTTCCCCAATATTCCGATTATAGATGATGAGAACGGTATAGATGCGGCTCAGGCGGAGTGGACAAGTTTTGTTCAGCAAGCTCTGCAGCGTGCAGCTGTACTTCCCGTGCAGCGACAAGGCAGACCTTTTCCGCAAGCAGACATTCGACAGAAAATTTCTGATAAAAGGGCTGCAATTAAGCAAGCGAAAAGATCTTGTCATTCTTATGACACTTCCTGAGCGACGAATCTTGTTCATGATGTAAGAAATGCTCTTCATGAATTCCGCAGTGTGCAATGGTACGACTTTCTGGCGGGGATGCTTGACTCAAACATTCCTCTCTGGAAGGTAGCGAAGTCGCTCAAAAATGGAAAGCCTGAACAAATCCCAAACATCCACGGTCCTGGAGGCATTGTCTTCACGACAGAGAAAAAGGTTGAAGTTTTCGCCGATGCTTCTTCAACCGAAGATCTGCTTAGCACATCAGCGGAATCTCCCGAGATCCCGCATTGCACACCAGCAGAGATTCAAGGTCATATTAAAGACCTTTAAGTGCGTGAAGAACCTGGGGAGGCTCTAATCACTGATAAGGCGCTGAAGCTGCTTTCGCGGAAGTCCTTAACCTTAAGGATCAGTACTTCCCATCCGCGTAGAAGACCGCTGAAGTTATAATGATTCCAAAGCAGGTGGGTTCGATATTTTCCCATTATTATCGTCCCATTAGCCTGCTGTCAGCTCCGTCTAAGCTCGCTGAAAAGGTGATTCTACGTCACCTTGAGAATTTCTCGTCAGGTCATCATGTGGTTCCTGACGTGAAATTCTGTTTTCGGTCTGAACATGGTACGGAGCTACAGGTGGTTAGGCTGGTGGAACGAGTAACCAGGGGATTCACCCTTAACGAAAGTACTGGAATCTTGCTTTTGAATGTCTCAAAAGCATTTGACAAGGTGTGGCACGCGGGCCTCCTGTATAAACTAATCCAAAAGGGCTTCCCTTTTTGGCTTCTAAAACTACTGAAATCCTTCCTTGAGGTAGGAAATTTCGGATCAAAATTGACAATGTCCTGTCGACAGCACGGCTGATTACAGCCGGCGTCCCTCTGGGTTTGGTCGTCGGACCTATCCTTTTCTCACTGTACATCCATGACGTCCCTAGTCCCAGCAACTGTGAAGTCTATCTCTATGCTGACGATACTGCATTGGTGACTCAGTCGTGGTCTGGTGACCTACTCCATGCCAGGCTGAAAAGTGCGGTGGAGGAAGTAATAGATTGGACGGATCGGTGGCTAATTAAAATTAACCATTCGAAGACGCAGGCAATCTACTGTATAAAAAGACGTAGCGGCGTTCCGTCTGAAGTTTCAATGAATGAACTTCGTATACCATGGGAATCCTCCGCTAAGTATCTCGGTGTCGTTCTGGACAAAGGGATGACTTGCCGGAAACATAATATAAGCGCTACAAACTAAATTCCAAATTACGTTTCGACAGCTTTACCCATTATCATGTAAACGTTCAAAATTGAGAACGGATATCTACCGATTAACAACCTAATTGTGAATTTTCCAAAATAATTTTAGCTTTTTGCAAGGAATACAAGGTTCGGCCACGTCGCCCTCATATAGAAAATAACATTTGTTGACGTATTTCATATTGGCATTGCCACAATTTGTGTACATTTTTATAATGTATATGTTCATAAATTATCGTTATCTAATGAATAGTATCATTTAATAATAATCTATATATCTTCTACATATAAAAATGAATCCCTATTTCGCGTGGTCAAGCCATAACTTGTAAATGACTTTACCGATTTCATTCATATATTTTTTTAAAGTTTCCTAATGCTGTATAGAAGGTTCTTACGGAAAGAAAAATCAAGAAAATTGCCTAGAAAATTGGGAAATCACTGAAAACCTAATGATTTATTAAGCTATGCACGTCTGACAGTTGCTTGAGCATATGAAATATGCTGTGCTTATGAAAACACGATGCTTTCGCTTTTGGACTTACATTTCTTTGCCATCCGTACTTTGTGATGATCCCTTCAAAAGAGTAGTGTTACCTAATTGTTATCTTTGTCAGTTAACTCTATGAATAAGAATGGCGAATGAAACTACGTTTCTTTTGCTTAATTGACTTTCACTACTATTCTTTTTTAAATGGCCTGAGGCGTTATAGCCTATTCGGCCACGAGAATGTATATAGACCGTAAAGAGGGGCTACTTTGTAACACTACAGCCTACTTTGTGACAGTGACATCTATGATTAAATTTTCTATTTTTACCAAGTGGCTAAAGGCGGTAGTATAATTCAAATTTTATATTTCAATAGTGCACTAGGTGCGCCATCTATGCCGTTTCATTAATAGCTCCTAGTACAGCTGTATTCCTCGTGCCAGAGCCGACTCGATAATCGAGTAAACAGATGGATTTCGTTTTGTATGCAAACTTAGTGTTGGTCAGAAAATATATTAAAAGATTTTTCCACCAAGGTAGGTTTATATTAAAATACGAACGTTTTCACGCCTCAATGTTAGAATTATATCTTTTTCACATTGTTTAACACATTTTTTTAAAAATTGGTTACAATTAGAGGGGCTACTTTGTGACAAAAAATTGTCACTAAGTAACCCCTTGAATGTTTATGAAGGTATTATTGAAACGCAAAATGTGTAATTACATTGCTACGAGTGTATAGAAGAAAAATTGGTAGTCGCAATTACAAAAACTATACACAAGAAAAATTAGCAGAAGCTCTTCATCAGAAAGGAGTAAACGGATTTCACTACGCGGTGCTGCAGAAAAATATAATATCCATCGAAATACTTTATGACTGAAAATAAAAGAGAGACATAAAACAAACCTGGACAACAAAAAGTGTTTACTGAGGAGGAAGAAAATATATTTGCAGACCATGTAATTACTGTGTCAGCTTTTGGTTTTCCAGAAAGCACATTTGACCTTCGATGTCTAGTAAAGTCCTATTTGGACCGGCAGGGCAAAAATATTAAGCCTTTTAAAACAATATGCCAGGATGTGATTGGGTCAAATCCTTTCTAAAACGACATCCACAACTTTCTCGGAGGATTGCGCAGAACATTTCACATGCTAGGGCTGCTAGTGATGAAGAAATCATAAATAACTTCTTCGATAATTTGGAGGTTGAGTTAGATGGAATTCCTGCAAGCAATATATGGAATTATGATGAGACTAACCTAGTTGATGACCCGGGACAGACAAAAGTAGTAACCAAAAGAGGAACGAAGTATCCTGAACGTATTAGGAACTCATCTAAAGCCTGTACCTCATTAATGGTATGCGGAAACGCCGAGGGTCAAATAGCACCAGTTTACGTCAATTATAAATCTCAAAAATTATGGACCGAAAATGGACCGCCAAACGCGTGATATAATAGTCGTCATCTTATACTTCCAATATTAAGACGTCAAGAAGGACGAAAGGCAATCATAGGAGACAATCCCAGTTCACACTTGAATCAGCAGGTCATTCAAGAATGTAAAGCTAATTACATTCGTTTTATAGCATTACCTCCTAATACCACGCATCTACTCCAACCACATGACGTGGCTTTTTTCCGACCAATGAAGGAAAAGTGGCGTAAGATCTTGAGCGAGTGGAAGGCAAGTAGTTATGGCAGCAGAGTTTCTTCTAAACCAAAGGATGAATTTCCGGGGCTTTTGAAAAATCTAATAAATCCGTTGTCAGAGAAAGCGCCTGATAATTTAAAATCCGGAAAAAACAGGAATTTGTCCTTTGGACCGACAACAACCGTTTATGCGATCGTGTCGTACCAGCAGATACCGAAATAACTGACCATGTTGGCAACAGTTTTATTCAACACATTACCAATGTAAGGACAGAAACAACGAAAAAGAAGGAAACGTCTGAACGTGCCACCAGGTAAAAGCATATGCACTAGTGACTTTAACAATGACACACTTACTGTTGAAAATACGACAAAAACTGTTGATCCTGAGCCTGGAACCTCTGGCATCCGCCAGAGAAAACTTCTACGAAATATTGGAGCTGACAGATCATCATCAGATATTCTAGTGAAAATGAGGACGAAGTTAAATACATGGAGAGTGATGACAGTACAAGTGATGACCATTTTTTCGATGTTGGAAATGAACAGCCCACTGAAGAAAATAATGTCCCATCCCAAAAAGTGGAGAACTCAACGGGAAAGTACGTAGTTGTACAATTTGAGCAAAGCTATTTTCCTGGTAAAATTACTAATGTCTCGAGGGTAGGAGCAACCGTAAATGTGATGGAACGCGCTGGAAAACAATGGAAGTGGCCTCTTAAGAAGGACGAGATATTTTATAGGAACGATGAAATTGTTATGGGCATAAACGCTCCAATGAGGCGTGGAAAGCGAGCCTTATTTGACGTTCCAGAATTGAAAGACATTCTTGAGTAACAATAACTTTTTTATAATGTTTGTAATAATAAACATTTTGTTGTTTCAAGCCTAACCATTTATACCTAGTTAATGCCAATTAGAGTTTGTTTTTGGAAGTTGTATGTATTTTTTTCTCAAATACATGTTTATTCTCTCAAATATATATACTTTTTATTTTTTTAAACAAAGCGTGTGTGTTTCTTTGTGATATAGTTACAAAAACTGCATGCCATAAAGTAACCCCTATGCGGTTAATTTGTGACAACTTTTTCTGTCATTTTCTCGAGTGCTATAACATTTATTGAATTACATTTTCTACTTGAGATAGAAAAAAGATGGGGCTGTAAGGTGGCATACCTTAAATTATAATACTTCGAACAATTTGAAATAAATGATCAAGAAAACTAAAAAAAGTGTTACAAAGTAACCCCACTTTACGGTATGTAAATCTCTAAGACAAACACACGACGGCACAGCATCCATGGCTTCGGAATGTGATTTCTGCTGGCGAGATTCGAACTCGCGGCCCGGCCGGCCTGCTGATTAGTAGCCCGACACTCTGACCCACCCGGCCAACCGAGGTCCCCTTTCACTACTCTATCATCTTGAACAGCTCGCATGCTGCAAATTTATATTATCGCCTAACACTGTTTATAGATGAACAAAAATTGTTTTATTTTAATAGTAGTGCACAGTACATTCGATTGGAGCTTTTATCAAGTTTTCAGTTTGTTCGGCGAGTTTTTTTGTCAATTATTTGTTCAAAGGTAATTAACAAGGGTGGAAGTTATTTTACCGCAATCACTGTGTTTTGAAATTGTGATTTTTCAAAATGTCACGAATTAGACGTACTAACTTAGGTCGCAGAACTTGCAATGCTGTAAGTCAAAGATATTATGTACGAGGAAGACAAACTGACAAGCAACGAGAAGCGAGAAATGAAGTTGAACGGATCGAAGGACTGAAATTCAACAACGTAAAAGTGTCGCATTTAATCCCAATAGCGGCATTCAATTATGACGTGGCAATCGATTGCAGTTCACAACAAATCGTTGCTATTGGACCAATGAACGTTGTGAGTTCACATTGCAAGGCTTTCAAGTTGAAAAATGAAGCCCCTGGATTATGTTGCGTCAGTGTAAAGATCAAATTGACTCCATTGGTACCACCACCAGAGCCACTGCATTCACTGGTTTCCAGGAAGGGGCCAGATTTTATACAATGTTTGATTAATATCTAGTGATACAACAATTGCTTTCTAAGGACGTCATTTGATGCAACAAAATTCATTCCACATAATTTCAAGGTAAGTTGATGGGGGAATGATAGTGCAGCCAACGTATTTTGCGTGCCACATAGCGCTATACAATTACATATATGTACCCTTTTATTATATATCATTCATCCCAGTTCATAGCTAAGACAGGACAACGTCTGTCAGGTCAGCTAGTGGAAATACTGCAGGATATTTGGTATGCTGGTTTGTTTTTTTTAAATGCAAGATAAACGGTATAGCAAAATAAAGAATGCTTTAAATTATTGGGAAATCATTAAACTTCAATTATATGAACAATCAAATAAAACAAAAACCAGGAACTCCATCAAAATATTTATCAAAGTAAAAAACTCCAAAAGCTTAAATTTACTTAGGGTGCAGGTAATTTGGAATTTAGTATTTTTCTTATATACCGAGGCAGCCGCGCAGGCAGAAGCCTAAATGCCGAGGATATATATATATACGAGGATACCAAAGAAATTTTGTTCATCCAATTTTTGAACTGCATATCGTTAGTAGAACTGGGAAAAGCTTCTTATTGTAGTCTGTCCCACTATTTCGACACCCTCGGGATAAAGGAGCGGTGCCAAATTATTATCACCTGTTGATGAATACAGGCGCTACAGCTGCTTACAAAATTATGAATGTAATATGACAATTGATTTCTAAACTATATTCACCTTTTTGACAATTGTTTACACTTTTTCTAAGAAACTAATGTCTTTCCCAACTTTGTATGCGTTTAACAGTCTTTGCTAATTAATCTGTTTAACAAAACCGCTAATAATTATTAATTGCTAACTAAATTATTAAGTAATCAGTCACAATAATCACAATTCAGTATTCAGCCTGAACTTGTAGTTTAGTGCTACTGTTCTTAAAATAATCACAGTGTACGAGTATACCACTGGATTCATGAGCACTACAAGCAGCGAGAACACACAATTCGCCCATTAAGCACTGTTCCTATTCCAAATTGACAACCTGACATACTAACTTGAAATTCCATGTCACATTTTTAATTCTAAATATATTCACAAAACAATATGAAATTGTGAACTAATAAGGACACATAACAGTTCAAATAATTTCAATGAAGATTTTACCTATCTTAGTAAATGATTATCAATGGTTGCTTTCTTACCGAAAAAGTTTTTAAATTAAATGCTTCGTTCTCGTGTGGCTGGTAGTAGGAAATGTCAAGATGGCATCCTATTCCTGCTTTTAGTACTTCGTTGTTTCGTGTGAATTACGACAGTATATTCACGGCAAAAAAATGAGGGTTTGCATTTATTTAGATAACTAAGTATTCCAAGTTACCTGCAGTATTCCAAATATGCTGCACTTCATCTAATAGTAATAATAAGTATACTAAGTGACATATAAATCCGAACTCCCAGTTTGAATGGTTTTATTTTATAAAAGTTGGTGAATGTATTTATCTTACTGTAAATAACAAGTGAAAAAATTTTCAGCCTTATCAGTTGGACATTCTGGTTTTTATACTGCTTTTTTTTAATTCACTAACGCTCTAAAAATGAATATTTCAGCCGCAGTAAAGAATCAACGTTGGCGGATTTTGGTTCTTGACATCCTTTACGATCAGTTACGATGTGTAGAGTATGGAGACCTGTACGATTTCGTCAACTTAGTGAGTTTGATAGGGGCCGTATAGTGGGACTTCGGGAAGCTGGACTTTCTTTTCGGGCAATTGCAGTTAGAGTGCAAAGAAGTATAGACACTGTGGTTAGGTGTTGTCAGGCATGGCTTCGAGAAGGCCGTACGCAAAGAGCAAGGGGCACTGGACGCCGCCGTAGAACAACAGACCGTGAAGATCGCCGCCTAAGATTATTGGCCTTAAGGGACCGTTTCTCCACTACCAGGTCCATTGCAAATGAATGGTTTGCAGAACACGGAAGACCTATTGGCATGCGAAGTGTTTACCGACGAATGAGAAGTTTTGGCTTGTTTTCATACCGGCCACACTGGGTCCTCCCTTTAACTCGAGATCACCCACGTAATCGCCTTGAGTGGTGCAGACAACGGTCACTCTGGGATCAGGAATGGAACAGTATTGTCTTTAGTGACGAGTCTTGATTTTGTTTAAGCATGCACGATGGTCGTGCCAGGGTTAGAAGACGACGTGGTGAAAGGAGGAATCCACAGTTTTTTGTTGAAAGACATGTTCATCACACTGTTGGAGATATGGTTTGGGGTGCTATAGCTTATGGTTCCAGGTCACCTGTAATCTTCATCAGAGGTAACATGAACGCGCAGCGTTATATCCTCGAAGTTCTAGAACCCCATCTTTTACCCTATCTTGACACTCTGGCAGATCCAACTTTCCAACAAGATAATGCCCGGCCACATGTTGCAAGAGTCACAATAGACTTCTTTCAACATAATGATGTCACATTGTTACCATGGCCACCAAGATCTCCCGACTTATCCCCAATTGAGCACGTGTGGGATATAATGGGTAGGAGATTGCTCAATTTGCAACGTCCTCCTCAGACTCTAGAAGCACTTCGAGAGGAGTTGGTGGTTGCCTGGAATGAGATACCACAGGAGGACATTGACCACCTGATCAGAAGCATGCCTAGGCGCGTTGGAGAATGCGTAGCACATCAGGGTGCATCCACACATTATTAAAGGTCAAAGGTCTTTAAAGCAGTGCAATCATCTTGAAATTTTTATCATTTACTTATTATGCTTCATTAAGTACTTATATAAAATTTTATTAAAGTAAAACCATTTAAACTGGGTGTTCGGATTTATATGTCACTTAGTATATATAGTTTCGCCAAATAGCCGATAAGGTATTTATTGTTACGATGTTACGAGAAATTAACAACTTTAAAAGCTCTGGTGGTAAAAACAGTCGATTCCTGAGGAAATTTTTTGTAGACCTTTTTAAAAAACACGAAAAACTAAATTTTCAAGTATCCAGTAGTACTGGGTGTATTCACGTACAACAGGACGGAAGTACTATCTGTGTTTCGACGTGAACTGCTCAGTTATTTTTAATAAACAGAGACAAAAACCAACGGCGGAATACCTGAAATTGAAACTAGTGGGATACCTTGCTTGACCTCTAGTCGGCTTTTCTAAATAGCTCTTAATCGTTGTGTAAGTGATCTAATTATGTAATCTAAGAGTTGTTGGGACACGCTAAGCTTTCTCAACGGAATCTCGTGGCATTAAAATCACGAAACGTAAAATTACAAACCCCACATTTATCCGACCAGTTTAACCACATGTATTTATAGTTCTTCGTTATTGTAAACATTCTGACCACAATGGTGACCCTCTGCAGAACAATTGAAACTTTTTCAACAATATACGTATGTTTTATTTATCTATGAGATATGTTTATCTTTCAAGTTTTATGGGCAAATGTGCGGGAAATCTATGATGTCGAAATATATCCAATACATATCTCATCTTTGATAATTTTTGCAATTACGATGGAAAGTATAAATAGTACAAAATAATATGAGAGTATTTTGTGAAAAATCCCCTATTATTTTATTCTTAGGCAACTAAACGCATATTTTCGAACGCGGCCCATGTTTTGTCATATTTTTGTATTGCTAAAACAAGCTTGCGAGTTTGCAAATCCAGGCTGTCCTGTCGGATAGGGCGGTAATGCACACATGCAACGGCTTGAGGCTGATTTCCATATTTAAGGGGTAAACGCATCGCCGGTGATAAAAATGAACTGCGAGAGCCACACGTCGCTACGCTGGTTGTTGAAACGTTGGCGCTGCAGGAAACAAAAGTGTCGTGAAACAATAGCTGTGATGGATTGAATTTGTTGTAAAAGGGAACCTGCTACAAGAGGAGATTGTGGTTACAACTCCGGCTGTTCCTCTCTGGCACAGATACAAATTGAAAACGAGAGTTACTTTAATTAGTAAATGAGCTGAATTAATTGATATGACCTTTTAACGAAGAACAAAGCTTCAGATACCGATGGCTCTATCCCCGAAACCCGCGATGGGTTATTTGAAAATTCTGCATATTGGGAAAACCCAGTAGTGATTTTACTTTTGTTTTTATACAGGGTGTCCCAGAAGTCAACGTCAAGCCGAAACCGGGTGCACCTGCACAACTTATAAGAGTGATACGTAGCAAACCCACAGTTGATGAGAGAAGATAAATCACAATATCGTTTCAAGATGAACCATTGGACGGGAATATTCCAAATGGCAAAATAATCGGTTCTTTTGAGCTCCCAGGGACTTTGACTGCTGAAGTTTATTTAGATTTTTGGCAAAATCAATTAAAAAATTTGTAGGAGG